GAATGTCCGTTGTTAGGTTTAATGGGAACTTTGGCCATAAGATTTGAGAAAAGATAGAAGAATACAAAAACCTTAGTTCAAAATTTAGGGTCTTGCATAATGGTGATGATGGGTATGAGGCTATTAACATATACAATTATAATGATAAATATATAGTGCATATGGAGAAAAGATAATGCATATGTAGGTTGTTTGAGATGACCGATTTACCATGTCCATATGCTATAGCTTGTTTGTGTTGTTAGGAAGTGGTAGTTGGAGAGGTATGTTATCCCTTGGTATTCAAAAGATATGTTTATCAATGCATATAAAAATTCTATTTAACCTACTAATGGTGAGAAGTATTAGCCTAGAGTAGATAAACTAGATGTTATTGCTCATGATATTGTGAAACCGCACGGGAGGAAGAAAAAGAAAAGAATCTTAGAATTATGGGAATTTTCAAATGGAATTAATATGTCTAGAAGAGGAAGGATGATGACTTGTAAAATATGCTTCAAGAAAGCGCACAACAGATTGACATGTCCCGATAATCCCGAGAAGAAAAAGGTAAATATCTTATATGTTAGTTATGCTTATAAGTTTTATCTATCTCGTATACTATAGTAGAGTTGATTAAATCTTGTTCACGGGATGTTGATGGTGCTTTTGGTTCCGGATCGGCAACCCTTGGACCAACCGATGTTGTGGTTGAACATGGTCTTGTTAAAGAAGCTTCCAACTTCGATTCCGTTATAATTAAACCAGCTTTTAACTCGTCGTGTAAATTCTTAGATGATTTCAATTATATGATTTGTTTTGTGTTTGCTTATATTCATAACCTTAAGTGAAATTTTTTCTATATTTAGGAAAATAAAAAACAAGAAGTTAGAATTGCATCTTCTCATAAGAGAAAAAGAAATGATGCCACTCGTTAAGATGAATAAAGAAAAAGTTGATGATAGTGGTGGTCAAACTTTGAGGAGTAGTAAGGGTAAGGAGAAGGTTAATGATACAACCGCAACAAAGCATAAGGGTGCTGCAACAAACCGGAAGGCGACTACAACAAAGAAGAAACCAAATTTAGATGTTGATACTCGTCGAAATCAAAAGATTTACAAGAACATGGATTGCAAAACAAAGTGGTGCTGCTAGTGGTTCAAAAACAAATAAAAGTGGTTCCAAAAGAAATTGATGTTTTGAGGATTTTAGTTAAAACTTGATTAATTATATATAAGGAATACTCGTTGAAGTGCATTTCCGATCGTACTCGTTTAATGTCATGTTTAATTCTATATTTATTTAGTTTCGTTTGATGATTACATTTCTTTCTCACATGTAGATAATGTGGGATATTTCTAGGTGTGATTGAGAAGTTCTTTTATTTGTTATAAACATTAAAAGAACTCCGTCGACAATATTAAATCTCATTTGTTGATGTTTTACTTCATTAAGTTAATGAACTTACCTTGTTACAAATAGGACTTCGTATTTCAATACTCGCTTTCTTTGTAAATAAATCTATTGTCCCAGTTAATGTATATGGTTATGGTTAATGAATCTTTTGTGCTAATTACAAACAATACTCATCAAATGAGGTTGGTTTTTGAATGACATTGTTCAAATAATAGCAAAATGTTACAAACAAAATAATACTCATTTTTTCTTTTTCTTCTAAGGTTCTTGGAACGAGTCGGTGTAGCAATTCACGAGGCTTTGGCTTGCAATTCTTTGAACCAATTTTTAACTAAATCGAACTCATGACATTGGTGACCAAAGCTTAACTTTTACGAACTTCATTATCAATTCTCCTCATTTCAACCCTCAATAAAATTAACTCACTAATTTTCTCCTTTTAAATAAGTAATATATATATATATATATATATATATATATATATATATATATATGTGTATATATATATGTATATGTATACATATATGTATATATATACATATATGTATATACACATATATGTATATATATACATATATGTATATATATACATATATGTGTATACACATATATGTGTATACACATATATATATATATATATATATATATATATATATATATATATATATATATATATATATATATATATATCTGGCGAGAACAAGAGGTGCAAATGCAATTCTAGTTCCTATCGTAATAACTTGCGACGAATAAGTTAAATCATATCAACAATAAATTTACATAAATTGTTAAATTCATTTCAAACCTATAGCATTACAATCACAATGACATATATTATATAAATAAATTTAAGTAAAAGATATATTCTACTCTTAAATAGCATTAAATCACCATACAACAACTTCAAGTCCGCAATCTCTAGTAAAAACAACTTTTTCTCTTCTTGTTTTTTATTTTTTTATTATAGGCATCATTCTCAACTCGACGGTCTCTATTTCAATAAACGGTTCCTCATTCTCGCTCTTGATGCAAGAATTCTCACTTTTTAACTTACAAATCACTTCATTCAATCTCAAATTCTCTCGCAATCAACTCGCAATTCATTGCATGTATTTGTTTTTGCCAATTTCGTAATCCCAAAACAATCTCTTTGGCTCTGTAATCTAAATCATCCTCAAACCACACTTTGAAACTATAGCCAACATTTTTTCTTCCTTTAGCATTGAATTGCGGTGGGCAAGCATTAAATCTAACACTTGGGAGTTCATCACTCTAAGATAATACCTTCACTGTTTTCATCCCACGAAACATATAATCGATGGTTCTTTATCACGTGATCGTAATTCTTGATCACCAAGTACACATATTGACGAGTTGTGATACATCTAAATGTTTAGACGATGAAGATGATGTGGATGAAGTCATCATGTCTTCCTACATTGCCGGACACTCGCAAAAGACGAACGAAAGTTTCAATTTAGGGATTTCAAAAATTGGAGATTTGGGATTTAGGAATTTTTAAACAATTGAAATGAGAGAACCGGGATAATTGGACTTGCTAGAACAATGGAAAAGAGATAAGTTGCAATTTACAAAGAAAATGAGAGAATTAGGATAGATTTTGCTAGATAACGCGAAGAAGGGAAGGTTGGGAGTTTAGGGATTTTGATAAAATGTAGCAATTTGGGATTTAGGATTTAGGATTTTGATATAACGTAACAATTTGGGATTTAAGGATTTTACCGGATAATATGTCGGGGGTATTTTTGTCCTCTAATTTTTATTTTTGTAAAATAACAATTTCTTATTTTCAAAATTGTTAAATTTTTTTTCCAAATTTATAAGTTTTGGTTTTCGAATTATAATCTCACAACTAGGATCCACATGTCCATGTGTCAATCTCCGATTGGTTATCATCATCCGATAAGTGCCGCGTAGGATTTACAATTAACGGAGGGTTTCGATTAATAAATTTATAAGAGCACAAGGTTTCAATCAAGTCTGAAAAGTATTAGAGAGTCTCAATAAAAAAAATTGAAGCTGTGCAAGAACCAATTATGGGGTAACACCCCAACACACATAGATATATACCCGTATTTTAAAATTAATATATATTTCAAATTAAATTACATTTATTGTTTCAAATTGATCATTTGAATTTGTCATTTATTATGAAAATTATCATCTATTTTTTTATATATAAAATTTTGTTTATTGACAAATATAATTTATTATTTTTTCTATATTTGAAATAGCAAGTGTAATATATAATGAATTTTTAGAATTTTATTAAATGATGGTGGCATATATATAAATTGATATAATATATATCACGATTGTTTTTTTCTTTTGTTAATTGGTATACAAGTCTATACATTAATTGTAAGGTTTTTTTTCGATACAATCTTACAAAAAATATATTTTTTGATTTTTTTAATTCTTCTTTAATATTTCGAGTTTAAATTAACACAATTTTTTATTTAAGATTCAATGCATAAAGAAGAATGAATCTTTTTTTTATTAGAAAACTTATGAAAAACATAAAAAATAATTTAAACTACAATATCAATGAACAATTAAAAAAAATTCAATGAAAAATTTTATTTATAAAATTATAAAATTTTGAAATGATTTTATTATGTTCGACTTCGTCTGCGTAACGTTGGTTAACTAGCTATATAGTTTAAAGATTAAAAGTATTTTTTAGATAGTTTGTCTCATTGTTTTTTTGAAAAAAAATTATAAGAAACTTTTTTATTTAAGAATTCATGAATTTTTGATTTTTTTTCACATGATTTTAGTTAAGAGTCTGAATATAAAATAATAAATCATGTTTTTTTAGCAAAAAAAAATATGAAAAACATAACGAATAATTAGTCAAACGTAAAATTTTAAAAAAATAGTTTTGATTTTATTTTTGATTTGATATATTTTAGTATATTAAAAATATAATACGTATCATAAAATTAAAATTATTTTTAAAATAATTTTACATGTTATATCCGATCTATAGTGTAATGTGGATAAAAATCTAGTAAAAACACTAAATCGAAGGCAATTACAGTTGCCCAAGAGAGTATTTAATTATTCATGGGGACTATTCAATTAATATTAAGAAAATATAAGGATTAAGTTATAATTAACTCAGTTAGTTCCGGGTCCAGGAGAATTACAAAAACCCAAATTCCTTTGCCCAACCCAAAACGAGGCCCAATCTCTCTCTCTCTCTCTCTCTCTCTCACAAAAACAGCTCCCAAAATCTACTCTCTCTCTCTCTCTCTCTCGACACCGCCTCAATTTCTCTCTTTCTCTCTCTAAAACCTTCCCCATCTCTCCGCTCTCTCCAAAATTCCCAAATGCACAACCCTAGCACTCTTCCCTCTCCTCCTCCGATACCGTAGCACTCATATCGCCGGAACCCTAACCGGCACCCCCGCCGGCACTCTCCGGCGAGAATTATTCATTGGGCGTCCTTCTCTGTTGGATTCCATTCAAATTCTCCATTTCAATTGGCTCCCCTGCTCTTCGTTATCATATTCTAGTGTTTTTTCGTGATCAATAACCACTACCACAAAAAAGAACTAGAGCAACACAGGGAGCCGCCTATGGCTCCGGGGCGTAAAAGGGGAGCGAATAAGAAGAAACTTCAGTTGCGTTTGGGTGATCTTGTTCTTGCTAAAGTCAAGGGTTACCCTTCTTGGCCTGCCAAGGTTTTTTTCTCCTGATTTTAAAATCAATTTTTATTGTTTTTTCATTTTATTTTTTTATTTTTTGTTGTTGTTTGATTTCTAATTCTACTAACTGTACTCACACTATATAGTTTATCTTATGAATTTGATTCAATTCTGTTTCAAATTGTGGTCCTTTTTGGGTTGGTTTGGTGGGTTTTACTTTTTATTGATGGGTTTTGAATATTGTTGGGTTCGGTTTATTTTTTTTTATGTGAATCAATGTGTTTTTTCATGGTGGGTTTTACTTGAATTTTAGCTTTTTTAAGTTTTAAATTATTGCAATTTAAAGATGGATTTAAATTATGGTGAAGTGGGTTTTGTTTTTGTTTCTTTACTGATTTTAGTTTAACTTGATTTGGTTCTTTCTGTTGAGCTCTTTAGTTTCTGCTTGTATTAGCTTACTATACTTTAATTCTTTCTTGTAATTTGATTAGTTTGAGGGCATGAATATTGGGTTTAATTGATTCACGCGTGCATTTGATCAGATGATGATTGTATAATGGTTTTTGTCCGAGTTAGTTTTTTTGTGGGTTTTAAGGTAAGGTTCGGTTGGTTCTGATTGATATCTTGGTTAATTTTGGAAGTAAATGGTTGCCTCTCTTATATTATCCTCCCAGTCATTCTCTTTTAAGTGCTTATACTGTTACTAGGTTGGTTTTGTTCTTTGGTTATTGATTGATTGTTGCTGTAATTTTTGTGGGTTTTGGTAACAGAAAGATGTTGTTATTAACTGGGTGAAGGCTTCTTCCCGCAACAATTGTGATATATTGTGTTGAGCTTTTGGGAGTTTGTGTCATTTTGGTTAGTGTTTGAGCTAGATTTCGTGGGTTTTTTGAACAGATTAGCCGGCCTGAAGATTGGGAGCGAGTCCCTGATGCTAAGAAAGTGTTTGTTTATTTCTTTGGAACTCAAGAGATGTGAGTGTTTCTTTATGCATTTCTTGTTCAAAATTTTACACAATTGTTCATGCATGGTGAAGAGTTGAGAAATTGGTTTATCTTGGTGAGTAAACTGTGCAGTAATAAGGGCTTTTTATAATTCATTTCTGTATTATTTTGAGATAAGTGGAGTACAACCTGTGTGGTATTTCTCAGAAACATGGGATTAACTGTTTTGTTCCTTCTAAACCATTTTGGTGTGGTTAATGATAGCTTGATGTCTTTGAAAATGAGAATTTGGGACTTGATGTTGTTGCTATGACTACACAACCTGGGAAGCTTCAAGTACAAGTAAGAAATGCTTAGTTGAGTACTATTTTGGAGTGTGATTGGGCATCTAGACCTATGGTAGCTTGTCTACTCTTTGTTCTAATCTAGTAAATATTGGCTATTGAGAAACGAAGAAAAGTAATGAACATAAGTTTTAGGATGGGATAACATAAAGATTTGCTAGTTTTATTTGCCACTGCACTTGACTTGATTGTGCCTTAGAGATTGATTGTGTGCATGGATTAAGTTAGTTGCTACTTGTATTAGAGCTTATTTCTTCCCATTGCTTGCTTTTCTTCTTGCAGTGCATTTGTTGCCCCTTCCGATATTCAGGTATTCACAAATGAAGTGAAGAATAAATTGTCAGCTCGGTGTCAGAGTAAGAAAGATAAGTTCTTTTCCCAAGCTGTGAAGGAAATCTGTGCAGCTTTTGAAGAGTTGCAGAAGGGAAAGTTAAGGGGAATGGGAGATAATACTGATAGATCAGCACTAGGATCTGAGGCTCAATCTGTTGACTCAATGGAAGAGGATGAGGCAGAGGATGACTTAAATGATGGGATGGATAAAGTTGGACAAAGTGGAGAAGTGTGGGATTCAGGACGTGAATTTAGTTCTAAGTTAGAGCATTGCTCCAGTAGACGAGGTGAAGCAGGCTCTGGAGATATAAAGCCTTCTGTATTATGTGATGCAGATGACAGTTCATCCCCAGGTATATCTTCTGAAAAGAAGTTTAAAATGTCTGATGGTGCACAACCACAAGAGGTATTATCTGCTTCTAGTTTGGTTAATCTTTCCCGTGTAAAGGATGAAGCCTCTTGTAATGGAAATCTGGATGTTAATTGCATGAAGAACCTGGGTAAAGGTGAGGAGGCATGGACAACTCATGAGTCTAAGACTGTGGTTTCTGGGGGGAGAGAAAATTGGAATGTAATTCTAGGGAGCAAGTGAAAGGCGGAGAAAAAGGCAAGCTTGCTAGTGGCAGCATAAGAGATTTCCCCTCAGGTCCTCCTAAATCAGATTCAGACGCCAATGGTGGTAGAAAAGCAAAGGAACTGTCAAAAGCCAAAAAGAGTAATATGGTGTCTGATGATATACCTGAAAATAAGGTCTTTCAAAAGAAAAGGCGTGCCCAACCTGAACATGGAAAATCTGAGCTTGCAATGACTGAAACTGCAAGTCCTGCTAAGAAATCAAAGCTTGTAGACATGGCAGATGATGTTACCAAGGGACCTCTCTCAGAAAACATAAGTGTTTCACCAAGCTCGAATGTTGTTGATGACAAAGCAGTCAGACAGTCTCTGGCACCTGAAAAAGAGAAATCCTTTTGGCATTAAGAGCCCAGAGTGGTAAAGTTAAATCTGATGCTTTTGCCCATATGGGTAAAATGAAATCTAATTTTTCTTCTCAATCCGGTAAGGATAAATCTGGTAGTTCTGCCAAGACGAGTAAAGTTGATATTGATGCATCTGCCCAAACAGTTAAAGTCAAATGTGATGCTCCTGCACAATGGGGTGACACTAACACTGATGTATCTGCTCAAATAAGTAAAGTTAAACTTGATGTGTCTGCCGAAATTGGTAAAGGTAAACCTGATGCTCCTGATTCAATCAGTAAAGTTAAACCCAATGTTTCAAATGATGAAGCCGTGCTGCCTGTATTAAAACGTCGTAAACGGGCAATGGAGGCGATGTGTGATGCTGCTTCTCTCAATTCCGATGACAGAATGGAGAAAAATGCTCTTGAGCTAAAGAGTGATTTGGCTTCTATTAATGCGAAAGCTTCTGTTTCCCAACAGCCCAAAAAGCGAAGAGCTGTTTGCCTTTATGATGATGATGATGAAGATGAGGAACCCAAAACTCCTGTTCATGGAGGGGCTGGCAAAAATGTCGGAGCACATGTGTCTGTTTCAGATACTTCCAAGAGAACTAATGAGCGCATTGAAAGTTCTGTTAATCAACATCACAGAAGTTCTATTAAGGCTCAGAGAATTATCAGGGACTTTACTGGATTAGAGAATAGCCATTCCAAGGAATCATCTTCGCTGGCACAGAACAATCCTCTTTCGCCTAGTTGTCCAAAAACTATGAAGAGGAATGATACTCATGTCTCTCCAAGTCCTCACAAATCGGAGCCTGAGCAGTTACTGACCAAGGAGGCCAAACCAATCATAACTAACCCAAAGAGGTCTCCTCATCTGCTTCCTGCAACCAAACCAGCCGTGGAACAGCATAAAGCTACCAAGCCCTCTGTTAAAGTCGCCACTCCTGCCCCTCAAAAAAGGGCCCAGGCTGGACCTGGCAAGGTTTCAGGTCCTGTTTTGGATAGTTCATATGCTTCTCAAAATCATGTGCCAAGTCAAAAAAGTAGAGCAACTTTTTCTGGGGAAAGGCCAAAAGTACTCCAAAAGCAACTTCACAGATGAGTGATTCTGCTTTTCCAATGGGTGCTCCATCAGAGTACGGTTCTTTTCCTGGTGAAATGTATTTATTTTTTCTTATATTTTTTATTCATTTTTTAGAGAACATTTTCTTGCCTAATTACAGACTGGAAGCTGGTATGGATGATAGAAGCAGCTTTTTGGTTGATTCTAAGACTCCAGATTCTGTTACATCTATGAAACATCTCATTGCTGCTGCTCAAGCAAAAAGGAGACAAGCTCACTCGCAACCCTTTCCTCTTGGAAACCCTGCTTTTATAGCTCTCAATGATGCTCAGGGTAGGAGCCCGAGCTCCTCGCCAAGCCAACTTTTTTTATCTGGTACTAGCATTGCTGCACAGGCAGATATGCAGGGCTTCTATCCTCGCACAAATTTAGTTTCTCCATCTACACATGGTCACCAGTCAGCATCACACAGCCAAGTGGAAGCTGAAGAAATTGAGGAGCGAAGAGTTAGTTCAGGACACAGAGCTGCTGGAGGTTCACTGAGTGGTGGTACTGAGGCAGCTGTGGCCCGCGATTCTTTTGAAGGGATGATAGAGACTTTATCAAGGACAAAAGAAAGTATTGGACGTGCAACTCGCCTTGCCATTGATTGTGCCAAGTATGGCATTGCAAATGAGGTGGGTTGTTATCTTTCCTTTTATTCTGTTATTTTTTCTGGATTAGCTCTTGGAAAAGGAAGAGTTGGTTATTAATGAGCTCCATGGTTCCTGCTCTTAGTTGTCTTTTCCTTTAAAACATTAATTCCATTGTGCATGCTTGCAGTTTTATTCATATGACTGCAATCCACCTGATATGGTTCTACACACTGTGTGGCTTGAAAAATAATGCCAGAAGGCTGCTTCCACTGTTTGATAAATTTACTTATCCTTGTGTTTGGGAAATGTCATGGCTGGGATGCATTTTATCCATTATGGTATTCTTTAAGTAGCAGTTAAAGGGTTCTTCAATGCCCTTTTTATAAAATGACTGCAATCATACCCTTCTTTTGTTTTATATGACTGTTTCATGATGGATTTTCCATTTCCTCATTTTCTAAAGCTTACTTTTTATTTTCTTTCATGATTTTCCAAGGCTCACGATATTATTCTTCTCCTGCCAAAATTTAATTGAATCAGCTATGGAAATGGCTCCGTGATTTGGTGCTGAACAAACCAAAATGGTTTTGCAGGTTGTGGAACTTTTAATCCGAAAATTGGAATGTGAGCCCAGTTTCCACCGTAAAGTGGACTTATTTTTTCTTGTGGATTCCATCACCCAGTGTTCACATAATCAAAAAGGTGGCTTCCTCCTGCTCAATGCCTATTCTATCAATCTTGCTCTTTCAACCCTTGTAAATGTTAGAGGAGCAAAGAATGCCGTTCATTCTGTATCGATAATCATCAACAATGACTGTTGTCATTATGTTTCTGATTTTTTTTCTTTATTCAGGTATTGCTGGAGCTTCATATGTCCCTACGGTGCAAGCGGCATTACCACGCCTTCTTGGTGCCGCTGCTCCACCAGGAGCTAGTGCTCGGGAAAATCGTCGTCAGTGTTTAAAGGTTATTTTCTTTTTATGTTACAAAATACAGCCACTTCTTTTTCGATAGGATAAAATTTGATCTATTGTTGTTGCCAGGTCTTAAGGTTGTGGCTTGAGAGGAAAATCTTACCTGAATCTGTTTTGAGGCGCTATATGGATGATATTGGAGGTTCAAATGATGATGCCTCCGCTGGATTTTCCCTTCGACGTCCATCCCGAGCTGAACGAGCTATAGATGATCCAATCAGGGAAATGGAAGGCATGCTTGTGGATGAATATGGCAGGTGTGTTTTCTTTGTTATTAGTGCTGTTCTTTTTTTAATAATTTTTTAGTTACATATTTCTTGTTCCCTGAAGAACCATTTGACATGGTCCTACACACTGTCAATGAAATTTGATGCGGATGTGGTCCATGACATCTTTATACTAAAGAATTAGGTTTAAATAGAATTGGAACATAACATCTGAACCAACCTTAATCTGTTGGAAAATGCAAAGTGCACAAATACACATGAATGTTAACATGATTCTTGCCTTGGGAATTGAACTGCATCCTAGATACGTGATCTGCAGTGTGCTATGGCTTTATGATGATAGAAAAAAAAAAAACATAGGAACCATATATTTTCCAGTATTTCTGCTTTATATTCTTTCTAAAAGAAAGAACTGTATTTGTAGAGCAGATGCTAAGCATTTGCACAAAAAGTGGTTATGGAATAACTGTCAATCATAGGTTAGTCTTTATGCAATACATTGTTGAGTCCTATTGGAGAATGGAAGGATGTGTTTCTCCTTGTGTTGTTTAAATTATAAGGCAGCCTTCTTGGTGGTGATGCAGACAACAAAGGAAGCAAAACTCTTGTCTTTTTATAGGCATGGGTATTTCTGTAATTTCTGAAATCTGAATATTTGTTTAAGTCTAGTTTTTATTTTCTATCTAGTATGTTATTAGTCCTAAGTAGTAATTAGCTTTATTAGGTTTTTCCTATCCTACATAGACTTAGCATTTCTTATTTAGGAATCTAAGTCCTTATTGGATTTGGACTACTATAACTCTATAAATAAGTATGTAGTCTTTCAATATTATGAATGCAAGTTTATGAATAAAATTCCAACAATTTGCTTTTGATTGTGTGGCGCAATCTCCTTTAGGTGTGACTCCTAAGAGTCTTGGTGTGAAGCTTAGGTTTTTCTATCCTTTAGGTGTACTCTTAGAGACCCTATTAGCATGACTAATAGTTTATACGATCTCAGCAGAAATCCACGTCAATAAAGCCCTAAATAGCCTCCAGAACAGCCTCAAAGCTGTCCTGCATCAGGTGGCTTTTAGAGGGGATACATGTTATTGGACTCTTCATCTTTTATCTTTATGTTTCAAGGGTTATACTTTACTCTTGTGTGTTAAGAGTCATTTCCGATTTGTGGTTTTGGATTTGATTTGTTGCCTTCTGCTTGTCCCTATTACTATTATTTATAAAAGTTGTCATTTGACCATAATCAGCATTGCTTTTTGTAACTTTGCAAAATAAGGGGGCAAGTTTGATTTCCATAAATGAACCACAAACATGGAATTGATTGGACTTATAACTTTTCACTGAAATTTGAAGTTGATACTTTTTAAGGAATTAAATAATCTTGGAGAATGAGGTGATGTAGCAAATTTAAGGGTGCTAGATATCATTCTTAGAACCTAATGTGTAGAAGTGCTGAAGACAATAATACCATAGGTTGTTTTGTATGATTTCATATATGCACGAGCTCTTGCTTTTTATTTCACTTTGCTAAAGTCATCTTATTATGTTATATAACCTTTTGTTACTATCAATGCAAAATTTGTTTAAAGCATCTTTTTTTGGCTTAATGATTTTGGGGTCCTTTTACTCTTTCTTTCGCCTTTATAGTGTCTTTCAACTTCTTTTTTTTTCTTTAGTTCATCCATCTAAATTTGGTTTCTGTCTTAATCTTATCCCTTAATTTTTTTGACTAATAGTGTTAAATTGTAACGTTAGCCCTCAGGATTGACACGTCAATTTTTTTCCTATCTTAATATCGTCCCTCTACTTTTTTTTCCCATCTTAATCTTGTTTTTTCTTTTACTGAATTTTAAAAAATTGAAAAATAGGTAAAGATATGTTCAGTTGGTTCTCTTTAAAAATTGAAAATAATAATAAAAAAATGAAAAAAAGAAGTGAAGATAAAAAAATATTTATTTTTCCAAAGTATTCTTTATGGGTTTAAATTTATCCCTATAATGATAAGAAAATATTGAGTAGAAAATGAAATATTTATATATATATTTCTCTTAATTCAAAGAGAGTTTTAATTAAATTTTAAAATATTAAATCTACTTAGTGTTGGACCCAACACTAACAAAATTCTTAACTTGACTAAAATTTATATTCCAACTTTTAAGTCAAATTAAGAAATTTGTAAAATCAAAATAAGTAAATTATAATAGACTCTTTTGAGATATTATAAAATCATAAATGCCATTTAAAAATTTAAAAATTAACTAAAATTTTCTTTACATTTTTTAAAATATTATAATTATTTTATTTTATACTTAAAGTTTGCTTATTGTCATTATGATAAATTTAAACCCATAAAGCTTATTTTGAATTAAAAAAATATTTTTATCTTCATTTTTTTTTAAACTTTTAGAGAGAATGTCTGAATATATCTTTTTTTTATTTTTTTATTTTAAATTCATTTATTTAAATTTAGTAAAAAAAAAAAAAGATGAAGGAGGTGGAAAAAGTAGAGACTAGATTAAGAAAAAAAAAAAAACAAGTTGACGCTTGTTGCAATCCTATGGGGTTAACGTTGTGATTTAACACCCTTAGCCCAAAAAGTTAATGGAAGGACAATATTAAAATAGAGAATAAACGTAGTGGGATGAACTTAAGGTGAAAAAGAGTTGCGAGACACGATATAGTAAAAAAAGAGAGGAGGGACTTGCAACCATTAACCCTCTTGTTTTTATATGGCATGCCATATTACATGCATTTCTTTGGTCAATAGAGTTTTATTTTTAGATGAAATTTGAAGTTGATCAATTCTGCAATTTCTTTAAATTTTTACTGTTTCATAACTGGATGGTATTGACCTTAAGATCCATATTGGTTTTCTTGGCTTTGGTACCAGTAATGCCACTTTTCAGTTGCCTGGCTTGTTATCTTCTCATGTGTTCGAGGATGATGATGATGACTTTCCGGGCAGTCCATTTAAGGAAGGTGATGGTGTGTTGGTAGTTACAGAATCAACCCATGCTTTAGGGGAGAGAGAAACATGTACTTTCACTCCAAATGACAGGCGCCACTGCATCTTAGAGGATGTGGATGTTGAACTTGAAATGGAAGATGTGTCTGGACACCAAAAGGATGAAAGACCCTCATCCACAGGTGGTTCTTTTGAAATGGAACCACAGCAGCATTGCTCAGATAGGTTACCAGAACCTGCAGTAAATGATTCTGTTGAGTTGCTGCCTCTACCAGATGGGTCTCCACCACCACCTCCTAATTCTCCTCCTCCACCTCCGCCTTTGCCTTCCTCTCCACCGCCGCTGCTACCACCTCCACCCTCAACATCTCCATCACCGCCGCCTCCACCTCCACCTCCACCTCTTCCATCACAACCGCCACCTCCTCTTCCTCCTGTGCCACCTTCAGCTCCCCTTCCAACTGTGGTACCTCAGCCATCTGGACCAAGTCAACCTTCTTTACTAGCAAAACCAATACGACCATCTCAGTCATCTGTACAGTCCTCACCTCAGTTGGCATATCAATCAGCAGTACCGCATGAATACTGTGCTACACCTGGTGTATGTATTTTGGCTGTCCATTTACTTTTCTTCTATGTGAATGTCTTAGTTTGTTTATTGTGACCTAAATTTTCTGTGTGCAGAATAATCAAATTGTCCAAATGGCTGGAAGTACTCCTCATGGGAATCATATGTTTTTAAATCCTCAAGCTCCTCAACAAAACCAACATTTTCAGCCGGTTAATGCACCTTTTGCACAAAGACCTCTGCATCCGAACCTACCACAAACTGCATCTGGTCATTTCTCATTTACAAAGCCACCAATTCAGCAGCATCCTCAGCATCCTTATCCCCGTCCATACCCTATGCCATCACATCCTGATGGACGGCCGCGATTTGCTACTGATGAACAGTGGAGGATGCCTTCAAGCGAATATGCAGATAATCAGCATGGTGCATGGATGGGTGGAAGAAATCCATCACATGCAGGCCCTTCTTTTGGCCAGGAAGGTATGTGCAACTGTGTCCCTGTAATTATAGAACACTTGATCTTGTATCTGAATATCCTCTTGCTACTTTTGTGCATACATGTGCATTGCTTAGACCTTGATCTTTCTTCTTTTTTTTTAAAAAAGAACTGAACCAGTCAGAGAAGTTATCATTTGTTCTTATATCTGGATGGGATTGGAATGTTCTGAGGTGGTTATTGTGGATGCTCAACCATATTAATGTTGATATTTTAATCTATAAAGTAATCCAACTGCTTGAAACCTGTAACTGTGAGAGGCAAATTTAATGACTGGATGCTCAACATATAATGCCTCTCTCTCTCTCTCTAAATTCATTATTTTATCTTTAATTTATGATACCTCTTAATGTAATGGTCTTGTATCATTATTTACTATTGAAAAAAGAAAAAGAAAGAGTGTTGGCAGATACTCGCTTTCCATCATTGCTGATGTAGGTTGTCTTTGCTGCTTCCCATATTAGTGATTCTTTTGGAGAAACCTTTTTGACATGATGCTTGTTTAAAGTGTTCAAGTTATCATTTTCTAAGATTTATGGCCTGGAGAGAGAACAAAGTTGGAAGGAAGCTTGATTGATTACATGTTATGAATTTTTTTGAGCACATTTAGTAAGGTTTGTCTTTACTTTGAAACTTGATGCCTAAACTTTAAAATCAGTGTTTTGCAGATGCCAAATGCTTTTTCTAGTTTCTAGCTTGTTGACATTATATGTATTTAAAGTTGTTCGCCATGCTTATGTGCGAGCATTGCATCCGAACCCCTGAGCTTGTTTATTTCTCTTTTGGGATGTTTATGCTTGTCCTGCCATGCGAGTTTAGGAAAGTTCAATCTATATTCTGTGTTTTCTTTGGGATGTACTTTTTCTGTGACACACAGGCTAATAGATCATAAAAAATTTCCCTGGCAGGTTACTTTCGGCCACCACCTCCAAATAATATGGGTTTTCAGGTTGCCCCCACCAATAATATACCTGCTGGAACTCCCATTCCAGGTGAGCTTGCTTTGTAAAAGATTGTCTCATTTGCTCATAAGTGACTTCCGTAGTACTTGAGAAAATTGACCTCCAATTAGAATCGAATAATTGATTTCTATGGTTGTATTATTTTAGGTCATGGTGTTTCACAGATGTTGCCATGTAGACCAGACATGCCTGCCCTAAACTGCTGGAGGCCAGCTTAATAATGAATCTGAGGGCTTCTTAAGTTTTTGAGTAAGTTTATGTTCCTACTCCTTTGTGTTTTTTGGCAAAATTTCTTAAAAAATGTTTATGGTCCTCTTAAATTTGCCTTCGAATTTCTTTTGAAGAACAGCTCTTCTAAGATTTTTGGCCTTAATTTTTGCCACTTTTTTATTGTGATAATCGAACCAAAGTGGCATCAGAAATCAGTGAAAAATCTGTCACTTTTGGTGTGATTATAAGTTGAAGTTAAGCCTATATTTAAAGGGTTTCACATGTATGTTTTTCCTATAATTTCTCATTCAACTGCTAGTCAAATGTTTATGATTGATCATTCAGTGCAAATTCTTGTGAAATGGCCCCATCTAGGGAGTGCAATATATTATGAATAGTTTAGTGAAGCTCAGTACAAGCGCTCCCCCCTTCTCTCTCTCTCTCTGTTGGGTTGATAACTCTGTGTTTGTTGACTTTTCCAGTGCTGTGATCCTGAAAGGAAGAAGTGCACTTGCATCATAATATGCCTTAAGGAAGGTTCCTATTTTGGACAAAATACAAGTACGACTTGAAGGCAGTGTTTGAACCTTGTGGAGACTCTTGGCAGGGCTGTATAGTGTAATTTTTCCTGACAAATGTATCCCGGGAACATTTGCTTTCGAGTGTAGGGCCGTGTTTCTGACTTGGTTAGTACATCTGTTTCTTAACTCTTGTAATTACACTGACATTAGTATATAAAGAGAAATTTTTTAAGCCACAAGTTTGACAAGTGGCGAATTTATCGATTCTTTTAATGCACAAACTTTTTTATCTTTTTCTTTGCTATATTTACTTTTTTTTTTTTTTTTTTTTTTTGTCCTGTAAGGCTTTAGTAATACAGCAAATGCATGCACTGTCATTTTTTTCTCTCATCTGTGGGGCATGCCGCATGCATGGTCCGATCAGAGATCTGGATGCATAACTGAATGCCTTTTGGTGCATTGTGTAGCTGATAGAGCTTTTTACTTGGTAAATTTTGGTCTATTATCCACACTTGGCCTTGTGCTTGGGAGAAGAATAGACTCAAGTAGGACAATTCAGAAGTCCATTTGGTTTCCAAGGCGGCCAAGAAATTCTTCTTTGGTCGGTTTTTGATGGTGACAAAGAAATTTGATTTGGTTGGGTGTTTCCTTTTATATTGGACGAATTGGGACATGGTTGCAAATGAGTGGCTGGGTTATGCTTTTCATGAATTAACCTCTATATTATTCCTTTTTGCTTTTGGTTTGGTTATATAATGTAAATATTTTAACTTATAGTGTAAAAAATTGTATGATGTGGTGGCAGTCTGCAAGTTGCAGGAATTCTCTTTTCCTTTCTACCTTCGTTTTCCTAGGTGAATTTTTAGCCCCCTTTTGAATTATAAGTGTCAGTTTCTTTGTCATTTAAGTCTCCTGCTATAAAAGAAATTAATATATTATTATTATTATTTCCGTTTAGTTCCACAAACATCATGTTTGTTTAATATATGGATGAAACTTGAGAGATTCAAAATTCTTGCATTTTTGATAATCAAGTACTCAAATTTTGAGTTCTGCATCTAAATCAACAACTGAAATTTGGTTTGGCTGTTAATTAGTTAAATTCATATGTGGACCTTATCTACTGATGTGTATGCTTATGTGTAATCTGATGTGTTATCCACATCAGTTAAGTAGAAAACTGAGTGTTGCATTATCTTAGAAAGATTTAGAGATAAAACAAAATAATAAATAATGAAAAAGAAATGAGATCCCAATAGAAGACAGCAAGGGAGTAGATTGAAACTGATGCATAGATCATAGCATGGAAATTATGAATCTCAAATTAACAGACTAACAACTGGCAAGGTACAAACCTGAGCTGTGTCTGGTACTTTTTATTAATTTTCACTCTCAAGTCCATTAGATTTCTTGCTTCTTTTTTCCCCCAAACTTTCTCAGTTGCTCAACTTCTCTTCAACTCTCTTTAAGATCTGATGGCTTCGTGTTTGTTTGTGTGAGTTGACTGTCAAGGCTTTAAATCAGTGATATCGCTCTCCTCATCTCTTCAGTTTTAGTTCATCTTGCATGAAAGACCTAATGACTTGATAGCAAATGAAAACTGGAAAGGAGTACAGACATACTGTGGATCAAAAATAGCCATTGAATATTCAGGTAAGATTGCTTGGTTGGTGTTGCATGAACAAATAGTTTTGTTTTGGTTTGTGGATCAACAGTTGTTGTAGAGCATTCTACTAATAACACATTTCTCTTCTACTTTGTGTTTCTTTCCCTCTATCTCACAGACTTCCTATCTTCCACAATGCCCTTATTTCTACCTTCTCTTCTTGGGAGACTGATTTGGTTATTGGAACTTGTACTTCTTGTGTGTAATCTGATGCGGTATGTATCCACATCAGTTAAGTAGAAAAACTGAGTGTTGCATTATCTTAAAAAGATTTAGCGATAAAATAATAATAATAATAATAAATAACGAAAAAGAAATGAGATCCCAATAAAAGACAACAAGGGAGTGGATTGAAACTGATGCATGGATCATATCATGGCAATTATGAATCTCAAATTAACAAACTAACAACTGGCAAGGTAAAAACCTGAGCTGTGTCTGGTATTTTTTGTAATTTTCACTCTCAAGTCCATTAGATTTCTTGCTCCGTATTTTCTCCTAAATTTTCTTAGTTGCTTAACTTCTCTTCAACTTTCTTAAGATCTGATTGCTTCGTGTTTGTGTGTGTTGGTGTGTGAGAGTTGACTGTCAAGGCTTTAAATTAGTGATATTGCTCTCCTCGTCTCTTCAGTTTTAGTTCATCTTGCATGAAAGACCTAATGATTTGATAGTAAATGAAAACTGGAAAGGAGTGCAGACACACTTTGGATAAAAAATAGCCATTGAATAATCAGGTGAGCTTGCTTGGTTGGTGTTCCATGAACAAGTAGTTTTGTTTTTGGTTTTGGTTTGTGGATCAACAGTTGTTGTAGATCATTCTACTAATAACACATTTCTCTTCTACTTTGTGTTTCTTTCCCTCTATCTCACAGACTTCCTATCTTCCACAATGCCCTTATTTCTACATTCTTTTCTTGGGAGACTGATTTGGTTATTGGAACTCGTACTTCTTTAGGAAGATCCTAACGACAGGAAAGCACAAGAACTTGCTGTTTTCTGTTCCTATTCTTAATTCCTTTTGCTTCTCCCTTGGATTTTAGGACCTTAAGAGGGGTAAATTTTCTTGTTGCCCTTTCTTTTCTCATCTTGCCAGGCCTTCACCTCATACTTGTTTCCTCTTAGTCATTATATGTGGAAAGCTGAGTTTCCATCAAAGATCCAGACTTTTATCTGGAGAGGTTTTCTCTGCAAGATTAACACCAATTATTTATTGCCAGCTAAGAAGGCCCCACATATCTCTTTCTCCTGATATATGTGTTATGTGTGATGGTGGTGGGGAGACTGTGAGCCACCTTTTTTCTCTGTCATTCATATGGGATAAGTCAGGTAGTCTCTCTGGGATTTGTGGGATACTATGGGTAGTTTGGTGCTCAATAGATGACATTTCTTTTGTATGTTCCTGTAAGGCTTTGCTAGGAGCAATAACAGCAACTTTATTTGCAATCATGCTATTTGTCTATGAGGTGTGGTACATGGAAGGAGTGGGATGCTAGAATCTTGAGTGACCACTAATGTTGGAGCCGTTCTTGCATGGTGAGTAGTTCTTTTAGCTTCATATGCTCTTCTGCTCATGGGGCCTTTGAGAGAGGCTCATACTGATATCCAAGGAGACTGAAAAAATATAGTATTGTTGAGTTTAGTTAGATTCTAGTATCTCGTTCTCTTAATCTTTGGAAGGTGCTTCATCTTCCTGAACTTGTGATTTTTCTATTCTTTATTTATAAACCTCGTCTTTTGTCCCGAAAAAAACAATGCTGTATTTCCTTTGCTGATTGATTTAATTGTATGTTAATTTATGGTAGATTTAAAATTACTTCTTTGATGGCTTGTTTGGTTGCTCAGAGAGTTTTTGTTGAAACTGACACTGAAAGGTGTATGTAGAAAACCTTTAAACGCTGGATGATTAGAAATTGTGGTGGTTACAGCTGTGTTCTCCTGAATCAGAGAGTAGACTGTTTCTTTGGTTGCTAAGAAAATGTAGTCCTTTTAGAATCACATAATTAGTAAAATGGCATTTATGCCAGCTTAGATTCATGCACTGTCAGTATTGGCAATGGATGCATCTGGTCAAGTGACATGCAACTTAGGTTGAGAATTAAATTTGGACTGCTTGATTGTCGAAACTTAGGGACTTTATGTATTGCATTTCTCTCTTGAAAACTTCTTATTCTTCATTTATTTTTTATTTTTTATTTTTTGTGGGCAGATTCATCTATAGACCTATATGTAACTCTGCCCCTACGTATGCCTACTAGTTTGAGCATAATTCTTAATCTTAGTTCTGGTTTTGGGGATAGAAGCTGCCTGCTGCAGAGTTTCTTGGTAAAATTGGTGAGTTTCTGCTGTCATTATGGATGCTTCAAAAGATATCTGTAAATCTTTATTCTTGCAGAAGTGGCTAGAAGTTATGGGGCTAACTCTTCTTGATCATGTCTATTAGAACATTCTCAAGGTCTTTTAGGATCTATATTCACCTGTTCATTTGACTTTTATGTTACTGTTAGCTGGGAAGTTACTTACATTGACGAGGCTGTATGGCTATAACAATTGAGCTACTCTAGAGTCTGTTGATTCTTTTCCTCTGGAATTCTGGGTCAGAGAAAATGTTGCAGATTCTTTTATGCATGTTAATCCAACCCAGGCACCTATCTAACAGCATCACTTGGATGTTGCCATTTATTTTCAAAATTTAATTTCACAAAATCTTGCACCTTCAGAGTTGGATTTCTAGTCAGGGTGAGGTTTCTTATGGAGAACTGGAAGTTAGATATCATAAGAAGGAACAGGCATTTGCTTTCTTGAAATTTTTTATTTTTTTATCATTTTACTTGTAAATAACCCTTATATATCTTCACTTAGGATGATATTCTGAAAGCTCCCTTGAATCTTATAAAAGACGGCACAGGTTTCTTTTAGCAAAACTGGCAGCCCCTGCATTCTAGCCATTATTTTAGGTTGTTTATTGTAACTATGGAAACACATTTCAAAATGATTCACGTGGACATAACAACTTGGGGAGAAAAAAAGGAAAGAGAGAATTGATTATGTGACTTCTGTGTGTGTTTACTGCCCTTTGTTTTTTCTTAATTTTGTGTTTGGAATCCTCATACTGCTTCATAAGATTTGGACCATGTCTGGCTTTCTGCAGTTGATGAAGGGTATTAGACCAACGAGTATAAAGCCTGTCTGTGATCTATATCATGCAGTTTAATTTATCAATGTTGTTTCAAGGGCTGTTCATTGTCAGAATTTAATGATAACTGCAAATTGTACTGTTTCAGGTTTAAGCGAAAAATTAAGCTGAATCTGGTGTCATTCATGACTTCTCATTATGGGGAATAAAGTTCAAACTATATCTGGGAGAAAACTTCTGCAAAATTTGAGGTAAATATTTGCTGTGGTCTCTCAAAGCCAAAACAATGCCCATAAATTTTGTATTTTTGATAGGACTAGTTTTTCCGCTAAGTATCTTTATTGAAAAAAGTAAAGCTGTTCAACAAAATGCTTCAAATTTTTTGAAGAAATAGCTTATTAATTTACGAATTGTTATTTCCATATGTGAATATCTTTATGATCTCTCTTACATGCTGTATCATGATCACACTGTGAACAGTTGTTCATCTTGAGAATTCAATTCAATTTTTGTTACAATCATTTATTTTCTAGTATTAGTATCTTTTCACTGAGATTGTCTGCTATGTTTTTTTTTTTTTTTTTTTTCTATGCTTGCTTACTATCTGACTCTTACCACCAGTTATGAATGTAGATTTTGGTACATATGAGCCCCAACTAATTGCTGTGCTTTGCCTCCTGATGATTGGTTTAGTCAATTCCTTCTACCAAAATTCTCTCTTTACAATTGGAACCTTGAACTCATATTAGGTCATTTCCATGGGGTTACCATGTGAATCTGCTCCTTTTTTTTTTTTTCGGTAATAGTTAAGGGTGATTCCAAATTGGCAGCATATAAGAGTAATATGAATCTGCTCTTTTATTTGTTATATTCAAGGGTGATCCCTATTTTGCAGATTCTTGCTACATGCTTGAAATTTGATAGTTAGGCATTGACATAAAAATGAAAAATAACATACAGATTGCCGAAATGCGAAGTGAAATGAGAATAAGTAAGCAAAATGCAGTAGCTTGATCAGGTTTATAGAGATGATTACTCGTTAGCTGGTGAAGGTCACAACTGGTGGCGTGATGGTTTCCATGATAAGACTCATTTTGCAAAATAGAATGTGGTATATCAAGTTGATTTCTAGATGCTATTACAGTTGCCAGAATGGATGGATCTAATTAACACATTGTTGAAAATGGAGAATTCTTCTTGAAGATACAGTGAATAACAAGTATCTGTCCGTGAAAGCCTTCTGACATTGCTATGGATGCCTGGAATATTGTATAAGCTAGCGTTCTGGAAAATAAAAAAAGAATGAGAACCATTGCAGGACTATCCTATAGTATTAGGTTGTCGGTTGGATGTGGAAATAGTAGGATAAGGCATCAAAGCAAATTTGAGGGCACCTGGTGAGTATGATGCAATTTCAATACATGATGGATGTATGTGGTAGAGATTCTGGAACAGCATCTGCATGTGGAGAACCTGAATTTGATGCTCATCGGCATGGAAGTACGAGTATATGATGAGATGCTGTTTTAGCTTTATCTTGCTTTTTCTTTTAACTATATATACAGTATATGAATAGGATCATAAATTGTGTTAATGAATGAAAAGATGAGGATTACAACCTCTGTAAGAGCAAAGGCACTACACCAACAAGGACATGGTAATAAGAGTACATGCCTAAACTAGCTATCCTTACATCATTACTTGGCTTACTATAACAACCAGAAATCACACTTAGCAGACTACAACCCTTGTTTATATTGCCTGTCTTTATACTTAATCCTCTATTCTTGGGCAGGAAGAGATGGAAAATTTGTAAGAACAGATGCGGGAACCAAGCTAAGAAATGGGGAGATTTTAATTTTACCCGTATGAATGTGAAATAATATAAATAATAATAATATTGATAAGAGATGCAATAGCTGGTAACTGTCTTAACTTATCTGGGTTGGTTGCGATGTTGCTTTACCCTAGCAAGAAAGAAGATTCTGACTGCTAAGGGAGTAGTAGTCTCTTTGCCGGTGGGGTTCAAATTTCAGGATAGATTGCAAGATGTAAAATTCGCATGAATGTTCTTTAGTCCTGACATGTAGAAGATGTGACCTGTACGTACCATTTAACTATAAAACCCAAAGAAACTTGGATTTTAAACTCTAAATTAATTCTGAATGGTCTACGTAATTTTGAATGGTAATGGTCCTAGGTTGCTCGAACTTCACTCTTTAATTGGAGGTCCTATGTTGACAGAATTAACTTCAGAGTTATATATTATGGACTAATCCAAACAGGCCTAATATTGCATTTTCGTTTGGCCACGCAAAAACGGCAGTGAAAGGGAAAAGGAAACATAATAACACACTATAATTGTTCTGACAAAGAGGTAATTGGAGGGGCTGTCATCATTTATTTAAGACAAAAATCAATGACCAAATGCATTCGACTATATCATCACAACCATTTTTCTGATATAGACTGGTGATTTTGGTTCTTCTTACCGAAGTTAACAGAAATATAAATTAAGAGAGTGCGAATATGTATTAACAGTTCTCTTCAACATAAACTGACAAGAACCTATGATCTTATTTAATTTTTTTCTCGTCTCTTTCTATATACCTTCAGGAGCTAGCTACTCAATAGCAGACAAAATGTTGGATCCAAAAATCAACAAGTAAATTGAATATGATCTCAGACGCTAAAACTAATCAAGTGCTGTTTTGTTTTTCCGACCAGTTATTGGTTTTGGCAATCCATCAAAGATTGGTCTAGTAATGGCTGCAGCAGATAAGACCTGCAAATCCGGCTTCAAACTCCACTTTGATGTTGACCAGATGGAAGAACTAATGCCGTCTTGATCATTCAAACTAGGTGTGCTTGATGACTTCCTTACCATGAGAAATCCATCAGCCAAATCTCCTGGACCTGATTGCGCAGAGGTCAAACCACCTGCCTCTACATCTGTTGTAGTGCGGTTTCCTGCTTTAGGTCTGAGGGCTAAGCCTTTTCCAGTAATTGTTGAGAAAACAGCGGGACTGTTTTCTTCTCTAATCAGCAGATCAGAGTAGATGGAAGTGAAATCAGCTTCCGATTTCTGACGTCTTCTCACCAATTTCTCATTCCATTTCTCTGACTCACCTTCCTTCGCTTCATCAAGGAATAATTTGTCAATCAATCCATTTTTCTCGTCAAGTAACCCATTAGCCAAGCTTCTAGTTTTCCGATGGAGATTCAAAGGTGGGTGGGAAGCTGGCGATGGTTTAAGATACGGGCCACGTTCCAGATGGTGAGAATATCCGTTCCTGTAGACTGCCATCTCAAAACCTTCAGATGTGGCCCTTTGATCTTTCGGCTGAAGCCCATAGTAACCTTGTAAAGAGCTCATGGCTGGAGAAACCTTACGCTGTGAAGATTTAGGCTTCAAAGATTGAAATGAATCAAAGGGATCAGACTGCAAACCAAGTGGCAGGGTCCGTTCATAACTGCTTTGTCTGCAAAAAAGTTCAGTGTCATAATTGGTAGGTTTTAAGATGAACTTGGGGCTGAGATCCACCCCAAAAGATTCTCAATGCTAAAAAAAATTGTCAGCAAATCAAAAGAAACACTGAATTCTATGAGGTTTTAGCTTCAAGTGCATTTTCCCCTCAAATTCTAATCTGGAATAGGATAGGAATCATAACAGTACTTGGATCAGTTTTAGGGAAACTTTCAAGGATTTGTATGGTAGTGATGTTAGATCAATGTTTGATGATAGGATGATATTCATTTTATCAAACAGGTTTTGTTCTCATGCCCCAAAAACATCACAGACATAATGTGAAAAACACAAAATGCGAAATCTCATGAAAGTAAAGGCATAATAGTACCATATATCAATTACCACAGATGTCAGATAAAGGTCTAAGAATTTAAAGAATTCAAAAAAAGTAATGACATATGGATTATGCAAGAAGTAATACTGTGTGTGTCGTAAAGCTTTACTGAAGGGAGAAACCTGGCAGGGCTGTTGGGAACAAGGCTTCTAAAGTGAAACCAATCAAACTTGCAATTCCTTTTTTTCTACAGCTATACATACACATACTACAAGACAGTTTAAATTTTTCCAAGCACAAACTGTGCCCAACAAGTTGGCTTGGGCTAAGTCATCACATATTCACACATGGTGTATATAATTCAGCTGTCACGTGGATATTAAATTAAATCCATCATTCAATTAATTTGACTTACGCTAATCATATTTACAATACTAGCCAAGATAGTCTGTAATTGATCTAATGAATAATAGTCACAGGTGGCAAATCTTTTTATATGTAAAAATAGGATTACCAAGCAACAAAAAAAGTGATCAAACAAATCTTATTCAGTTTTTTGGGTGAAAACTATTAGAGAAACAGAAGCCACCAGACAACATAACACCCTCCCTCTCATTTCTCATGCGATTCTCACATGCACTTACTCCTTCCCTAGATCTGACATTTGTCTGTTCTTTTTTCCATATCCAATCCTTTGTTTTCTCTGATCTGATCTGAACTGAATTCAATTAGAATGAAATTGAAATCTGATATTCAGTTATTTCAGTATCTTACTGTTGAATTGGATTTAATTCAAAACACAAAATGCTTGAGAATTACATCCCAATCAATAGTATATGCTCCCCAAGCCCCCTCCCACCCCATTCTTCCCCCTTTCTCCCACTGGTCACTCCAGCACAGCACACACCTAGATCCTAGCACTGCAGACTCTTCCCAGTGCCACTCAGTGCAAGAAACCTAATGAGTAGAGCCCCATCTTTCAACACCACTTCCTTTAAATGCCACCACCACAACTACCACAGGAATAAAAATCTCATCTCTTCTACCACCCAAAATGTACATTATTGTATCACAATCAGCACTACCACATCATGGCATCACCATTTTAGCCAATTCTAGCAGTTTGCATACACCACATTTGCTGAGATAAGTTATAAGCTCCTCGGTTCTCCCTTGATATCCTTTAGAAAATGTATGCTTGGAATGTCCACGTAAATCAGAGCCAATCTATATATAAAGGCTTCTGCCTAGTCATGGTTTCGTCCAAGCAAGGTCCTTGGAGGGTAATCTGAAAGGACTGAAGAGGCCAGACTCAAGATTGGACCTACCTAAGACTTTCAGTTGTGCCTTGCAAACTATATGGCACTGAAATTCTATGCACACATCATAAGAAATTCAAATTAAGCTTTATTAAAAAAGGAAAAAAAATTCAAATGAACACGTTTGACAAATGAAAGCCCACATTTTTTAGCACACAACATGATGGGGAAATTCAAATGAATCAGAAATAAAAATTTAGAAAACACGTGAGTTCAAAAGGAACATGTAAATACCCTGGGCCATCAAAACCATTTGATAAGAAAGAAGAGGGTGGATGTCTTCCAGGTAGTGGAATTTGGAGTGACTTGAGAGCAAACATTTGAAGATCCGTAACCAAGCCATTCATCTTCTTTATATCAGCCACCTAAAATGATAGTCACAAACAAGCGAAAAGAATATCAACCGCCTTACCATCTAGTTGATCAAAGTTCTCTAAAAGCCAAAAAAAATAAAAATAAAAAATAAAATAAAAGTCACCATAAGCTGTGGTGCAATTGTGAGCAGCATTTGAACACCCAAATACTCAACTATCAATAAATTTAATAACCAAACAAGAAGGGCTGGTCGGTAAACCAAAATTTTTCCCTATTAAAACTGATTATTCTGCAATTCTAAACAAACCAAAATGGTAAAAAAGTTGCACAAAAATCCCATGACATAACAAACATATAAATATCAATTGAAATGTAAAGACATATTAAAACAATATTTAAAGACATAGTAGATGCAATTAGAAAAAATCTTAAACTTAAAAAAAATCACATTTTGAACATGACCCAAATCAAAATAAAAAGAGCCCATTAATATATGAAATCAAAATCAATAAATTTAAGTAACAAAAAGAAAATAAGAATTTTTTACCTCCACCCCGTACTTAATAGCAACGCCAGCAAGAGTATCCAGCTTCGAAACCGGATGTTCAATAAATCCAACGCCACCACCATTTGAGGAGCTAGAAGCAGACGAAGTCGTCGTTGCTGTTTTAGTTGATGATAGCGACGGTATTTTAATCCGACCCTTCCCTTTACCATTACTTTTGCTATTATAATTACTATAAAATTCCAAAACTTGATCTATCTCATCGTCGGGGTTATCATAATGATTATCATCATAATTATGATAATCACAACCGCCGCCGTTAGAAAACTGAGTGTACTTGAAATTCTGATTCTGATTAAGATGGTGATGGTGACTGCCGTTACTTTCCATCTGCATCTTCATCATATCATATCCAAAAGGACATAAAAATTCCCTCACCAATTGATGACCGTAAACATTAAATCAGATTGATTGATTGATTCGAAGATGATTGAATTCAAACGAATTGCATTGAATTCCGTTAAAATCAGATGGCAGAAAATTAAAGGGAAAAAAGAAGAAGGAAAATTGGGAGTTTTTTAAAGAGAGAGAGAGAGAGAGAGAGAGAAATCTAGCGAGGAAGGGAGGGGAAGAGAAGGGAATGCGTGTGTGAATCGCGTGAGAAAGAGAGGGAAGGAGGGTGTAATGTGGTGTTTGCTGTTTTCTCTCTGTTACTCTTTCTTCTTTCTCTCTCTCTCTCTCTCTCTCGCGGTTTTTCAGGGAGAACGGAACAGGATTTCTGATTTCTTTTCTCGAACTAGATAGAAGAAAATAAATTAAAAATTTATTGGACTCCAACTTTATTTATGTCTAAATATTTGTGTACTTTGCAGCGGTGCATCCTAATTATTTTCACTTTATTTATATGTAAATGTAAATGGTTCGAGAACATATTTTATTGTTGATTTTTTTTAAAAAAAGTATAATTTGATATTTTATTTATTTCGAATCTGAGATATTATCATATAGATAGATTATTAGCATTTTTTTAATAATTAATTTAATCTGTATTTATATAATATTTTAAAATTTTAATTTATCACTACATTTAATTGTATTTATTATGCTTTTAAATAATTCATAAGAAATTATAAAAAATTTTAAAAATAAAACATACATGTCTTGTGATTTTAAGTAATTCTTTTTCATTTCAACCAAGAGTATTTTGATTAAAAAATTAATCAGAATGATAGATTAAAAATTAAAACAATATTTAGAAACATAGTAGAATAAAAACTCAATTATTAGATAAGAATAAATTGACTTATTTATTTCATATATATATATATTGAAAAAACATTGTTATAATGTTTATTAAATTGATATAATTTAATTCATAATTAATTAATATATTCGACATTAAATAAATTAGAGACTAAAATAATATTTAAAGGCATAGTCGATGCAATTAAAAACATAAAGACATATTAAAAACTCGAGTTATTATATAAGAGCAAATTGATCTATTTCCACCATATATTTTTTTTAAAAAATATTACCATAATATTTATTAAATTTAAACCATTAAATTGATATAATTTAATTCATGATAAATTTACATATTGGATATTAAACATATATGCTACGGTGAAAGTAATCATGTTACTATGCTTAATATTCTTATATTGTTGAGCCTAGCACTATGACATATTGCTGTATTAATTTTTTTTGTAGTAATTAACAAGTTGATGTTCATATGCTAAGCATTATATGAGTATTAATTTGGTTAATCATCATGTTTGTAGATTTTGTCAATCTAGACCTAAGTTGTAGTAAGATATCTTGTATTGAAACTATAGCCCTACAAGACTGCGTTTTTTCTAAAAATTATAAAAATGTAAATAAAATTTTTTCGGTATTGGTTTTGTGGTAGGTTTATTGAAAAAAGGTTTTATCTCAACCCAAACTAAGTTTTATAACAAAATAAAAAAAGTTGAAATCCAAACTAGGTTTTCATGCGTTTGAGGTAAAACTCAGTTTGGAATACATTAATCAAAACTTTCTTTGTTCTAAAAATATCCCATCCACCAACATTTATCTTTTAGTTTAATCTCTGAATGACAACCGGCTTCTACGTGTTTTTATGAGGCATCCTTTGACTTGGCTTCTACCGACAATACAAAAGGTTCACTTTGTTTGGTTTGGTAAGTAGAATTGTGTTATATAATAATAATAATAATAATGAATTGACTGATTTGGAGTTCTTAATTTCCATCTAACTCCCTTTAAAGCATGCAAAGCCTAAACCCATTTTGAGAATTATCTTTAAACACAATGCAAATGTATCAATTAACACAACCTAAGAATTGTAATTCTAATTCTATTAGGCATTGAAACCAAGTTTGTCATTCCACACAACGCAAGCAGACTATTGTTTATTTACAGATAATATTTGTTTTTGAACCATTTAATTACATGTACGAAAAATCAAATGTATTTTTTTTATCTACTGGAAAAATAAGCAAAACATTCATTCCGATTAAGAGATTCATGGTATATTACATTCTTGAACGAGGTGGGAGATACCACCCTTCAAGTCATGGAGTTAGCTTTTCAATTCCAGGGTATTAGGCATAGGATCTTGACCATTGGAAAGTCTAAGGAATGAAGAATCATAAATGATGGCCCCATCGTGGCCCCATCGTAGAATCAAGTTAGTTGTGACTTGGGAGAGTATATTTGACAAAAGAAAATAATTAAATGAATATGCTGTATGGTAAACCAAAAGTAACTAATTTTTCATGTGGCAGCTGGTCTAGTGGCATGGAATTTTCTAGTTAGTCTATGATCTATATGTAGAACTGAATTTGCACTTAGCTCAGAGTGGTCACAATTCTTGCCATAACAAGCCTTTTCATTGGATGTATCTTGTTTGGATCTTTGCTTGCCTCCTTTTGAATGTCCGAGAGGTTCTTAAGAATTCTTGATCGGACAATTAGTTAGTAAGTTAGTTAAGATACAGAGAGTTATTATTATGATTTAAAAAAGCAACAATCAATTAACCAATCAGAATGGATGCAAGTAGCGAAAGACTTGAAAAAAAAAGAAAACAAAGCTAACAAGCCGCAAGTCAAATGACCGACGAGTGGATGGTCAAAATCCAAGCATATGAAACTTTAGATGTTGTCCGATATAGGAGTTGGAGAGTTTTGAGATAGAGTTCATATTTTTTTTTTTTTTTTGTCAAAGATTAAAAATTTGAGATCCTTCGTGATGATGTGATGTTGATATCTACAATGAAATCGAATAAGGCCCTTGATCGTTAGAATCATGCTACATCATATAAGTTTAGATGGTCAAATTTGGATTGAAAAAATTAAGTTCTTTTAAGCTAAATTGTTTCAATTTGTTGGTAAAGACTAAAGAAAGTAATAATTAGGTCTTTCTTTAGTGAATCTTACTTCGAGCTCACCAAGCTAAACTTTTTTAATGTGTCCCAAAGTCATGCTATGGACATTGACATTGTCGGAATATAGATTAGTTTATAATATAACTAACCAGATTACTTAATTAATTTTAGAGAAAAAGTGAGTATATTACATTTAGCTTGTGCAATCATGTATAGCGTAATAAAGAAAAATAAAGTTCAAAAAATAACCTAAAAATGATTGTGGTAGCCTTCTCATGAGTCTTTTTGACACATAGAAAACAAATATAACATGTGATATGTTTATTGCGAGCCTTTCAATGCATAGTAATTACTTAGAGGCTTGTCATCAATCTTTTCATTTAATAAGTAATGCAACAATTTAGTTTTGCTTATCATGTCCAAATCACAAAAAGGACTTGAAAGTGGCTCTTTAGAGTATATTTTAATCAAAAACATCCTATGAATTTTTTTTATTTTTTTATTTTTTATTTTTTATTTTTTTTTTATCACCACCAAGCTATAGACTTTTGAATTAGCTTTCTAGATTAGTAAGGTTCACATCAAACATATACCCGGATCAAAAGTTAAGATACGTTAAGTAAGCCATATGTGTATGTTCTATTATATAGTATTCATTAACTTTCCAAATCAATAAAGAATTCATCAAGTATATTATTATGAAAATTTTACGTACCATCAAATTTTAATATAAAAAAAAGCCTTAGTTTTCAATTTTTTTTATACTTCATAAATTCCTAACTTTAGAAGGAGAAAGCGAACAACCAAAAGTTCCTAACTCAAGATCCTTAAAAAAAAAAAAAAGATAACATTCACTTACACCACACATAAAGAAATAGGAGATAAAGTTTTTATTTTTTTTAACTAACCACAAAAACCAAAAAAATTATTGGTTGTGTTGGCTAGCATTGAATGTTGGCTATGTTGGCCAACAATGTATTTTGGCTATCTAGACCACCATTGAATGCTAGCTACGTAGTATGCAAACCAATATTGAATGTCTGGTTGCGTAAACCAATAAATTTGGATTTTTTTTGTTCTTGGAACTTGGGGAGAAGATTCAGTCTTTTTTTTTTTTTCACACAATGCCAACATCTATCTTTTTCTTTTTCTTTTTTGTAAAGTGTGATCGCTAGTTCCCTTTATGGTAGGCGGTGTTGGTTAGTCTTTTTTTTTTCGGAGGGGCTAGCCAATCCTCGTGTGCAAGTAGTGCTTGTCTAGTTTCCTTTCCGGCTAGCAATATTAACCGAGTGCTCCATATGTAATTTGTTTTTTGGAAGCTAGCTAGGCCTTTTTGTGGTAAGCGGTGTTGGCCGATTCTCTTTGTGGCCAACAATATCGGCTAGTATTCTTGTCGGCCGACATTACAACGATGGCGTGTCATTCCGCCATAAAATTAATTATTTATTTTCATTATTAAACCCAATCACGGGATTGTAGTTAGAGCAAGCAAGGGTTCATCCCATAGAGAATCGGTTCAATCAATGTTCTCTATCTTCCGATTGTTCCAAGATACAAGGAAAGGTAAAAGAAGGGTTTTATGTGTTGAGAGTAATAAATGTAATCAATGAAGAATCATGCATCCTATGGAGGTGCGGAATAAAAAAAAATTTCCTCCATCTAAAGAGTCTAAGATCATGCCGTTGAATCAACTAATCATATATTCATGAATTAAAGCATTCAATAAAGAATTATCTCTTGTAGCATAGATTTAAATTCTTTAGCAAAGAATGGAGCCGTCTAAGCATTCGACCTCTATTGATGATCCACACGAGTCAAGTACCACACAAAAAGCACTCAAAATTGATAAAGTGCTAGCTTCATCTTTTTTTTTTTTTGACTTTTTTAGTGTTTTACTTTAGAAATCTAATCGGGGTAATTTTGCGACAATCCTAATAGAGAAAGTGTAAGTGGTGTGTGCTAAGGTTTTGGGAGAATACTATTTTTTTCTTAATTTTGCTCA